AAAATAGTAGGAACTATGATTAATGATTCCAAATAGGTTCCAAATAGGAAAAGGAGTACATCAAGGCTATATATTGTCACCCTGCTTATTTAACTTGTATGCAGAGTACATCATGAGAAACGCTGGACTGGAGGAAGCACAAGCTGGAATCAAGATTGCCGGGAGAAATATCAATAACCTCAGATATGCAGATGACACCACCCTTATGGCAAAAAGTGAAAAGGAACTAAAAAGCCTCTTGATGAAAGTGAAAGAGGAGAGTGAAAAAGTTGGCTTAAAGCCCAACATTCAGAAAACTAAGATCATGGCATCTGGTCCTATCACTTCATGGCAAATAGATGGGGAAACAGTGGAAGCAGTGTCAGAGTTTATTTTTTTGCGCTCCAAAATCACTGCAGATGGTGATTGCAGCCATGAAATTAAAAGACGCTTACTTCTTGGAAGGAAAGTTATGACCAACCTAGACAGCATATTGAAAAGCAGAGACATTACTTTGCCAACAAAGGTTCATCTAGTCAAGGCTATGGTTTTTCCAGTGGTCATGTATGGATGTGAGACCTGGACTGTGAAGAAAGCTGAGTGCCAAAAAATTGATGCTTTTGAACTGTGGTGTTGGAAAAGACTCTTGAGAGTCCCTTGGACTGCAAGGAGAGCCAACCAGTCCATCCTAAAGGAGATCTGTCCTGGGTGTTCATTGGAAGGACTGATGCTGAAGCTGAAACTCCAATACTTTGGCCACCTCACGTGAAGAGTTGACTCATTGGAAAAGACCCTGATGCTGGAAGGGATTGGGGGCAGGAGGAGAAGGGGACGACAGAGGATGAGATGGCTGGATGGCATCACCGACTTGATGGACATGAGTTTGAGTAAACTCCGGGAGTCTATGATGGACAGGGAGGCCTGGCGTGCTGCGATTCATGGGGTCGCAAAGAGTCGGACATGACTGAGCGACTGAACTGAACTGAACTGATGGTTAATGATTGTAAAGAGCTCTAGGTAAATATAGAGAATATTAGGCTTTTTTACTACGTATGTTGCTATTTATATATCTTATCTGTAATATCTATTCATATATTCTAGAATATATATCATGAAAACATGATAGTTTATTGTTCATCATATTTTTCTAGTAAGTAATTCTTTAAGAAATTCTAGTAAGAATTTCTAGTAAGAAAACCTTTAATTCTAGTAAGAAAACCTAGAGACTTCAAAGGCCATCGCTTCTGTATGGCATTAGAAGGAAAAAAACCACCATCAGATTCCAGGAATTAAGCACTATGCATGTTCCATTTTGAGGCTGGAAAAATAGGGGGAAAGAATCTGAAGCTGTCTGCCCAAAGGTAGAGTAAAGCAGATAAGATATTTAAAACTTGCAGAAACCAGTTAGTAAGTTGACAGTTTAAAAGAGAGTAATGCTCTTTTGTGATCATTCTGCTCTCTTAATATACTGACAGCCTGTCTATTCATATGCGGCTGGTACTGAATGCTTGATAATATAATTAACAATAAGCTGAAAGTACAGATGGTGTAGATATGATCATTGTACTGCTTGCAAAACTTGGGTACCAGCATCTAACTCCGGGGGAAGACAACCTTCTATAGAGGGCACAAATAAAGTTGTCCTGTAGTAAGTTAATACTGAGTCATGGTCTTAACTGACAGTGAAGTCTTTCTTACTTGCTCCAAATTACTGTCTTTATTTAAAAGAGATACCCAGTGAGGTAAATTAGTCTTGTCAAATTCTTACCATTTATATTTTGCAAAGTAGTTTCCACATTTAAGTGGTTGGAGGACAGAACTGGAAGAAGCTTCTCTTAATTTTAGAATAGAGATAAACAGCACGGTTGAATAACTCACAGCTTGATAATGCATATGACAAAAGCAAAAACTTTTTTATCACAAGGCCTTGAATATATATTCTAAGAAATAAAATATATAAATATTATATATTCTAAATATGTAAATATTTAGAAATAAAATTTAAAAGAATAAAATCAAATATACAATAATTTTTACCTCTTTAGGTATCAATATTGATATCAACAATATATCATTAGGACAAGATTATATAACATATTTTAGGACAAGAAACAGCAGCTTCTATTGTATATGTTGGCCTGTTTGTAGAAAAGGTTAGGACTGAAAGACTGTCTTTTAAGTGAGAACTGGAATTAAAATAGCATGTTTCCTAAGTATTCTTTATCACCTGACCTTGCAGGTTGGCCTCACTGACTCCAAATTAAGTTCCAAGAAGCTGGGTGCTTACCTCATGACCAGCACTTTCTTAGGTTCAGAGCAACAGTGAGATTTTTTATTGCCATTTTGGCACTGAAGTCTGCAGGGGAAACAGACACTGCTTTAATAGAGGTTCTGATTTGGAATGAGGTTGCAAAAACCCCCTTTCTTTTGCAACCTGATCTGTATGTAAAATGTACCTTCTGTCAGGGCCAGGACCGGCATCTCTTGGCTCTCTAATCAAAGACTAAAACTTTTCTTTGGCAGCAAACAGAACCACACTTGGTCTTGATCTACTGACTCAAAAGACACCAGGCAGAAGGTGCCTTTTTGGGGACCAGCTGGGGAGGATCTGTAACAAAATATATGTGTTAGCACTGGGTTCAATATGTAACAAAATGTGTAGTGTAGGACATTGTCAAAAATGAAAGAGAAAGTCAGTGTATCCTCTGTATCCCTATTTCTAAAACAATGCTCTGTGAGGCTTTGAATAAATGTTTAATGATGATAATAACCAACAGAAACTGAGGAGACGGCTAGAAAAAATTCCAGGGTATACTTCAAATTAACTTTTCAAAGCAGAGATCTGGCTTACAAGGTAGTATTTTCATTCCTATACAAACCTCTGTTATTCAACTATTGCTGACCTGCTCTGTTCCAGGCAATATGCTAAGTGCTTGGCGTGTAGAAATAAATTACAGCCTTTCTTTCTCAGAGCATACTAGAATGTGGAGAAACTGGGGAGAATGTTACCCTCCACATCAGCACTTAAAAATGCTCATTTCTTTATGATTATAAAAACACACACACTATCACATGCATGTAGAGCTATATTTTATTTTTATTTATATTGGACTGGCCACAAATAACCTATCAGAAATATCTTTGTAAATTATTACATATAGGGCCACCTCATATTTTTTGATGGCTTTACCATGTGGATCCTAAAGGAAATCAGTCCTGAATATTCATTGTAAGGACTGATGCTGAAGCCGAAGCTCCAATATTGTGGCCACCTGATGCGAAGAGCTGACTCATTTGAAAAGACCCTGATGCTGGGAGGAATTGAGGGCAGAAGGAGAAGGGGACGACAGAGGATGAGATGATTGGATGGCATCATGGGTTTGCGTGGACTCTGGGAGTTGGTGATGGACAGGGAGGCCTGGCGTTCTGCTGTTCATGGGGTCGCAAAGAGTCGGACACAACTGAGCGACTGAACCGATAGTGACCATGTGGATGTGTCATAATTTGCCCATTCCCTTACGAAATAGGTTATCCTGAATGTCCAAAGCTGCAGCAAGTCTGTATCTTTACAAACCTATGCTGGCTTTTCTATAGGATAGATTCCACAACATGGTCTCTCTCGTATTTTAATGTGTCTGGCCCTGCTCCTGCCTTTTTCTTCTCAGAATACAAATGTGATATGTGAGCTGCCATCTTGTGTCTGCATGCTAAGTCACTTCAGTCATGTCCAACTCTTTGCCACCCCATGGACTATTGCCCACCAGGCTCCTCTGTCCATAGGGTTCTCCAGGCAAGAATAATGGAGTGGGTTGCCATGCCCTCCTCCAGGAGAACTTCCCAACCCAGGGATTGAACCTGTGTCTCTTACGTCTCCTGGGTTGGCAGGCAGGTTCTTAACCACTAGTGCCACCTGGCAAGCCCAACATTAAGGTCTGGTAGCTTCAGTGTATCGCAGTCATTTGCCTACATATGAATTTTAGAGTTCATTTTATATCTTGTGTCTAGGAGATAACTAGCTATCCTGACTGCCAGGGATGTGGCATCAGAAAGAGACTGTTTTTTTGATGACATTGATGAACATCTATATCAGCCCTGCCTTGCTTACCTGGAGACTTCTTGTGATGCAAGATAATTAAATATTATTATTCCCAAATCAGTGTCAGATGGGTTTCCTGTAGCTGAAAGTACTTTTAATTGGAACTAATGATGGGAGCCCAATATTCTGGAATCAGTGAAATGAAACAGTTTTAATATTTGTTACTGACACACTTATGAAATGATCATAAATTACTTTCTAGGGATTACTTTTCTTTGGATAAAAACTCACAAAGAAACAATTTAAAATGGTAGAATTTATTTCATATAATGATATATATGTATGCACATATACTATTTAAAAAATAATCATGTGAACTATAATCATTATAAAACATAAGTCAGCCTTAATTTAATATTATCAGAGTAAAAGAGCATGTAAAGTCAGTCTAACATTGTTGCATTTGCCTTTCAAAGTTAAGATACATAAAAGATTTAGCACATTGTATTTTATCTTATTTCAGTTTTCATGTTACCATCATTAGGTATAAATACCCTTAGGAATGTGCCAACTTATACCTTACATTCAAATAATCAAAGTCCTATTACAATTATTAAAGTACAATAAATCACCTAAAATAAGTAATCTAAAAAAATACTAGCCTAAATTAAAACCCTGAGGAATTAAAATCTTTTTACATACACCATAGATTTGGTTAAGTGCAATTCCATGTTTGTACTACTTTATTTAAGGTCATACTTGGTAAGGCATAGTAAAAATAAAATCTACGTAAGTTACCATCTAAACCTATATTTTATTTCTTGGGACAAAGTTGTTTGTTTCTCAAGAAAAGTAGTTTTTGCGTGTCATTCTGGACCTCTTCATCACCTGCTGGCTTATTTGCTTTATATACAGTAGTCAAGAGTTGTGCACCAAGCTGAGCTGCCCTTATATACGGAGGATCAGACAGAGTGCACCTGAAGAACTACATGCTTGAGAGTTCATGTCCGTGTTCAATCATGGCCTGCACAAACTGCTTGAAGACTCGGTCCATGTAGGTGGACTGCCTTGGCCAGATTCCCTCCAGAAAACCAATATGGCCTCCATAAGAAGTAAGAACCAGAGCAACATTAGGGTTTTGCTTTGCAGTTTCTATTGGAATAGCTTGATGAAAAATGGGGGGTGGTTGGGCGGGAGGGTGAATAAGAGAAGGGAAGGAGAGAGAAAAATATATATTAACAGTTGTTGTTAGGAAAAGTTTGCACCTTTATCATTTCTAATCATTTTAAACCAAAATACCATTAAACAAATACTCATAATGAGTATGGCTAATCAAATAAGTCATTTATATCAACCACCTATATTCTTCTAACAGTTCATGTTCACGTTCATGTACTGGATCATTTTTGGAAGAATCGATCGGTTGGTTATAACAAAAGTACAGGCCTAGTCTTCTTTTGAGAAATTAAAGAATTCAAGAAATTGTGAATACTTCCATTATAAGATTCCCATTTAGGTGTTACACCAAGGGAAAAAAACAAACAAATCTTATCACCTTTGTGAGAGTTATAAATTCACTATGTATGACTTTGGTTAACTTTACATGAAGTTAGATTCCTGAGGCCAATTGGTGGCTCTGTTAAGAATCCAAAATTATAGATATGATTTATAAAAACGTATAAAGATAGCAAAGAAACAATGGCATAAAATACTCCCCAGTGGTAACAGTGTTTATCTTTGGGTGGTAAAACACTGGTGATTATATTTTTTCTTCTCTGAATTTTTATTTATAGTTAAGCTCTCCCTACTCCACACCCTTCAATGGAAAGTGAAAGTGAAGTCACTCAGTCATGTCTGACTCTGCAACCCATGGACTGTAGCCCACCAGGCTTCTCTGTCCATGGGATTCTCCAGGCAAGAATACTGGAGTGGGTTGCCATTTCCTTCTCCAGGGGATATTCCCGACCCAGGGATCGAACCTAGGTCTCCTGCATTGCAGGCAGATGATTTTACCATTTGAGCCACCGGGGAAGTTCAGTGGAACAGAAGGTAATTTTACTGTCGGACAACTGAGACCAGTTCAAGAAAGGGCTGCCGCAGGACCCCAACTGCCTGTTTAGGTGATGCTCTAAACTGACCTTTCACTACATTCTTTGAAGAATAAACCTAGAGACCCTAAATCAAGGCCTAGGAAGCCAAGTCCTTGTCTTAAATGGGTCCTGAACTCAGATCCTTACCCATCCAACTACACCTAAAACAGAACATCTATCTTGGGATCAGATGTGAGAACTTAAGGGGAGGGGCAGATGAAATGACTTGATACTATTTTTGGTTTTCCTTTTTCATCTTACATTAAGGGCTTAGATTTAAAGTGCTTCATTCATCTCTGAATGCACTCAGGAATTTCTAACACACTGATAGTTACAGTCATGTCAGAAGAACAAAAGGCTGGGCCATGGGAGTCATGTGAAAGATGTTGGCTGCCTGTGCTCTCAGAATGCAGACAATTGTCCACTATTTTCAGTGTGGCTTGGGAAAGAATAAGAAATAATGAGTCTAAACTTCAACCAAGAAGGTCAAAACAAGTTAAATACTGGGAAATTTTTGTTGGTGGAAGAAGGACCTGTGAAATATAAAAACAGATGGAGAAATACTAGACTTCCTTAATCCAATGAAAATAGACTAAACAATCTCCCTATTATTCAACTGATATATTAAAGTTCACAATGTAGGGAATTTCCTGGTAGTCCAGTGGTTAGGACTCCACGTGCTTACTGCCACGCGCCCAGGTTCAATTGCTGTTTGGGCACCTAAATTCCCATAAGGTTGCACAACATGGCCAAAAAAAAAAAAGGTCACAGTTTAATTTTCTGATTTGTGGTCAAAGACCAAGAGTTCCAGCCATCTAAAACCACTTGTGATTTAATCATAAATCACACAATGATATCCCCTAGAGAGATGGTACAGTGACATTTTAAAAAAACTTGGGGGATTTTATGAAATTTTGGCAATACATATGTGCTGTGTTTGTACTCAGAATAGTTTATTTTAATAAAGTACTTGGGGAAAATGTTTTTAAAGTATTTAGGGGAGAAATAAGGAGAAAAAGTTTTATAAAAAGCTTTGTGAAATTTCATTAGAAAAAAATTAGAGGTCAAATGTATTTATCCTTAAGATAGGTGTGATTACTGCTAGGCATCATACATTGCTTTAATGTATGAACACAGGCACATATATCTTTGTTACAAAATTCTGTATATCTTGAATTAAGAGAGTGAGGAAGTTAACTTGGGCATAATTTTCTTCTATACAGTATCCAGGGGGAAAACAAACTCTTTCCCTTCGAATATGACTTTATTGTCTGAATGTGCTACATTCATTGAGTTATCCAAGGACATCTTACTAATAAAGTCTCAAGGTTTAAAAGGGAAGAAATATTCCAAAGCTTTCTGTATAAGAACCTTAGGAAGAAAAGGCAAACGATGTCAATGTACTCTTGAGGTAAAGATACTGTAACATAGCCTGTCCAAAGAACAGGTATTTGATAAGAAGGAAAGGTTGTAAGAATGAATACAAGCAAAATACTAAGAGCCATAATTTGTTCTGAGGCTCTCACAGTAGACTAGAGAAGAATATATGAAAATGTTGTGATCTGAAACATTTAGATACTAAATTATGAGTATCAAGCTATTTTTTTTCTGTTTATCACAGTGTAAAACAGTATATGAGTGACATTTTTTGTTTCTTATTACTGTATCTTCCCACAAAGAACATTATTTTTAAACAGTTGATTCATGTCAAAATGTATACAAAGAAGTTAATTTACCATGACTGGGTGAAAAAACATCATCCACAGAATTCAGACACAACACTGGAATCCCTACTGACTTCAGTCTACGATTTGGACTGGCATCAGTGTAATAGTCATCAATTGTCTGGTAGCCAAACATGACAGAAGTGAATCGCTTATCAAATTCTCTTATGGATTTAGCCTGAAAAACAGAAACCAACTATAAATGTTCTTGGAATCAAAAGAGGAAATAAAAGTATTACATAAAGTTTCTCTCCTACCTTCATGACATGATCCATGTCAATTTGTTTTACAAACATATGCCGGTGCCTGGAAAAAAAATTTTTTTCAAAAATAAAAAAATTAAGGTCATTCCCATCTTAAACACACCTAATAATAAGTAACTTAGCACAGGACATAAAGTTGTTACTCAATAAAATATTTATTGACTTTCCCTGGTGGCTCAGTGGTGAACAATCTGCCTGCCAGTGCAGGAGATATGGGTTTGATCCCTGGGTCGGGAAGATCCCCTGGAGGAGGGCACGGCAACCCACTCCAGTATTCTCGCCTGGGAAGTCCATGGACAGAGTCTGGTGGGTTATAGTCCAGGGGGTTGCAAAGAATTAGACACGGCTTAGCAACTAAATAACAATAAACAACAACAAAATATTAATATTTACTTAATCAGACATAACAGGAATATATTGGTATTTGTTCTGAAGACTCTTGTTTAAAGATTGTTTCTTTTATTGAATGAGTCTTTAAATTCTATAGTGCCTTACCATTTTGAAAAGTTTCATACATATGATTTCATTATATATAATACTGTGTGTGCTCAGTTGTGTCCCAACTCTTTGTAACCCTTTGGACTGTAGCCTGCAGGCTCCTCTGCCTATGAGATTTTTTGAGGAAAAAATACTGGAGTGGATTGCCATTTCCTCCTCCAGGGGATCTTCTGGACCCAGGGATTGAACCCGCATCTCCTGTGTCTCCTGCATCTTTTTAAAATTCCGCTACCCCTGTATTGCCCCTCCCTCCGCCCCTCTCTCCACTGGTTTGTTCTCTCTTTGGGAGTCTGCTTCTTTTTTGTTTTATTCACTAGTTTGTTGTATTTTTTAGATTCCATACATAAGTGATACCATACAGCATCTGAAGCACCTGAAGACATTTTTTTAAAGGTACTTTTTTATTAATTATGGAAGAAGCGACCAGTTGTGCAATAGTAAACAAAAGTGTTCATAACAAACTGTACCTGCACACTGATGCCATGAAGCCAATTTGGCCAAAAAGGCCCCCACTGAAGCCAGAAGCTTTCAATTGGGTAAATCAACTGAAGATTTATCGTCCTCTTTAAATTGGTGTACTGAAAATTAGGATTTATATTTTTGTGTACCTGTTTTTAAATGCTGGTCATTTTTCTTGTATAACCCATATTTTAATCCAAATCTTTCTCTTCACTTTTCTTGCTACTGTCCTCCATTTCAGTGACCATGAATAAAAATATAATTCTATAGTATTCCTAGCAATATTTTATAGTCAACATCTGTGATGTAACAAAGAGGTTGTTCTTTAAAAATTTTTTTAATTTAAAAAAATGAATAGGTTAAGTTTTTTTTTTAATAAAGTAATTTTTAATTAAGGTATGTACGTTGTTCTTTCATTAAAAAAAAAAATTGGGCTGTGCCACTAGACATGCAGGATATCAGCTCCCTGACGAGGGATTGAACCTGGGCCACAGCAGTAAAAGCCCAGAATCCTAACCACTAGACTGCCTGGGAACTCCCCAAAAACTTGACGACATCTCATGTCAACTTTCAGGATAACAATGGTTTTCAATTAAGTTATGTGCAAATTTACTTTTTATTTAAAGTTGTCAATTCACTTTTAAATGCCCAGTAATGGCTATCAAAAAATAAACAGAAACATCCCATGTTCTTTGTTATCATACTGTTTAACTGTTAGAAGATACCTAAACAATTTCGGAAAAAACTAATTCACAGATAATATTTTGGTAACGTTAAGAATTGTGGGGGCTGAGAATATCCATATTTTATGGGCATGCTCCTAAATCTCTAAAACATACTATGTTCATAACACAAGCTTTAAAAAACATATTATTCAGCTCTGAAAACACTTAACACATTAGTTACTACCTAGGGGAGAATTAGGTACTAATAAGATTAGCGACAAGTAGAAAACCCAGGGAAATAGCCCATAGTTATTCAACACATTCAATACTAATGTTTTTATTCTTTTAGAATAACTTAGAGCAGTGATGAAATGATGATCTTCAAAATGGGGCACAGAGCCTAGAGGTTGTACAAGCTACCTCGTGGTACAGAAAGAAAACATCAGAGCTCTTATCTATATTTTTAGCTTATACATAAAATCTTTTTATTTTTGTACATATTGACAATAGAAGGATTATTTTGTTACAGTATATAACATAATAGTGCATATAACAAATATATACATATATGTGTGTATGTGTATATATATATATATATATACATTAGCAGTGTTGTCCTTTAAAACATTTTACTGTGGCACGTACTCCAAAAAATTTGGTGACATTAGGTGTTTAAAATGACTTACTTATTCACGGAAGACTGGAGGCAAGTTGTCAAATAATAATTAAAAAGCAGCCAGTTCAGTGGTTTCTCCAGTGACTCCGTGCAAGCAAAGGTATTCCAACCAACTGAAAAAGTTGCAGCTGCCTTCAAAGGAGTTTTTGGTCCAATTTTGCCCAAATAATTTAAAAGCAGCATTCTAAAATGAGGAAAAACAAAACACAGTGATGAATTTGTTCTATATCACAAGACATCCTATTTCTAATTGTGGACTTTTAACTACGGAGAATAAACATAGAAACCAGTGTGTCTAACCCCTTTATCTTGGAAAACCATGAAAATATCTTCCTTCTTTCCTTCTGTTCACATATTTATCTTGAGAATGGATAAATATGGATTGGGAATTTGAGAACGGGACAAAGCATACAGTTGTTAGTTAAACGTGTTTCTTTCTTTGAGGTAAAATATCAGAAAAATCCATCGAAAGAGTAGTTTTCTTTTTTGAAAATTATATTGGGGTTTATTAAAAATTTGCAATTCCCTGGCCCCCCACCCCCTAGCTGAGTATTTAACTTATCATGGGAGGGGTGTTTCAGGCAAACTTTTTCTATAAAGGGCCACAAAGCAAATGGGTTCTGGTGGCCCTAAAATCTCAGTCACAACCATCAATACTTAACCCTGTGACTGTATTTTAAAACAGCCGTAGACATGCATGAAGGAATGGACATGGCTGTGTTTCAACAAAATATTATATATGGATATGGAAATTTGAGTTTCATATACTTTTCACATGTCGTGAAATAATTCTTCTTTTCCAACCCATTGAAAAATATAATAACCATTCTTAGCTCTTGCACAAAAACAGTCAGTCAGATTTGGCCTCCGGGTTGTGGTTTGCCAATGCTTGGCACGGGGGACAGATCACAAGGAGTGGTTTTTAAATGTGTTGGAATACTGAAATCACCTGAGGAGTTTTAACAACTGATTTCTGGGTCTCACCTGGAGATTTGGAGTAATTGGTCTGGGTGGCCATTCCAATTGTCTATGCATCCTTGCTCCCTGGGCTTCCCAGGTGGTGCTAATGATAAAGAACTGGTCTGCCAATGCAGGAGACAAAAGAGCTGCAGGTTTGATCCCTGGTTCGGGAAGATCCCCTGAAGGAGGGCTTGGCAACCCACTGCAGTATTCTTGCCTGGAGAACCCCATGGACAGAGGAGCCTGGGGTCGCACAGAGCTGGACACGGCTGAAGCCACTGGGCACACAGGCACGCCTGGCTCCCTACAGCAGTGCCTCAGGGTTCCTTGTCCAGAGTCAGACTTCCTGAATTGTGGCGGCACAATCAGCCCCCAAAGTCACTTGTTTTCTCCTACTCCCTCCTGCTGTTTGTCCTTATCTCCTTTCACATATTTTCCTCTGTTCCTTTTGTTCTCATTTTTCCTGATTCTACTCTAGTTTTACTTTGGTAAAAGGGACAAGAATGGAATTTAACACAGTGCACCAGAAATCCAAGTTTGACATTGACAACTAAGAGAAAGGATAATAGTATAAATTCTGTTTCTCCTGTTTTCCATCCTTTATTTCTCCAATTGCCCAGGTTCTGAAATGAGTAAATATTCTCTCTCATTCTATTTTTTCCAACCCAGATGGCTTACAGAGTGAATGAGATAAGATACTAGATCAAAAATGGAGATTTCAGGGTTTGCTGTTTTTTGGGGGTATTTTTGCTGTTGTTGGACGAGGTTTATTGGAAATGTTACAGCAGAAAGACACAAATGGCTCCACGCTGTGTTTTGAAATTCATCCCAGCTATAGCTGAGTGACCTGCAGGCTGGACAGATGCCAAAAACCAAGAGCTTCAGCATTTCCATCATGTCAGAATCTCCTTCAGTGATTTCCTGATCCAGGGCAGAGACCTCAGGCTGGAGATTTCCCTTTTGAGAACAACTGTTCATAATGACTACATTCCCTTTTTTATAGTACATGGCTCCCTAAGCTAGTTAAGGGATAATGCTTCTCTCCTGCAATGGGGTCATTCCAGGGTCTAGTTGTGGTGGCCCAATTCTTTGGCTGGCAGTCAGAGGTTTCTGTGAGGCCGGAGTAATGGGCAAATTGAAAGAGCTGGAAATGAACCTCATAGGAGCAGGAAACACCAGGAATAACTGTGACCGAGTAGGTGGGACATTTCTTGGTTATTACTCAGGAGTAAAATAACGTCAAGTTATTACCCCATAAAAAGGCCGTGTCACTTTGATAAGAAAAAGACTCCATTTTTTTACCAAGACAAAGGCAGATAGAAAAAAAATAAAGAACTCACAGATTAAGAGATTTAAGATACATAATCTGTCCATATGTGGGCTTTATCTGGCTCATGCCTCAAACAAACTGTAAAAACCAGCCAACAGATTGACAGTGAAATGAAACACTGACACTGAATATTTGATGACATTTAGGATTACTGTTAGCTTTGTTCAGGTGTAATAATATACTGTGGTGGGTTGTTATTGTTTCTTAAGAGACTGTACCTGTCAGAGACACAGAAATCTCTATAAATGATGTCTAAAAATTATCTTAATGTAATCAGAGTCGAGGGAATGGAGGGTAAATTATCCTCAAGTTGACAGTCACTGAAGCTGGGGTGATGAATATATATGAGGAATCATTATACTCTTTTCTATTCTTATATACTACTTATATACTTGGAAATTTCTGAACATTTTTAAAGCTAGTCTAGGAACCCATTAGGAGACTGGAATGTGATCAAGTCTAGAGCAGCGCAGCGTGGATTCCTTGGTGAGACTTAGTTCTGGCTCAAACCGCTGCTTGGCCCCAGGCATAACAGGCGTGGGGATTACCCAGTCTGGGCATAAGGGTCTTAGATGCTTTTGTCTGCTGCATCTCCAAAAGGAAAAAAAAATGTGTCAAGCTGTAAACCACATCCCAGAGTGGTAAACCCACTTGGGAACATGTCACAGTGCTAGGCAACTAGAAAGGGGACTTCCCTTTCAACAATTTACAAGACATTAATATTCAGCCAGCTGCAAAGGCTAATGGTCAAGTTCTGCCTTCAGGCAATGAGACTTCAACTCGACAAGAACAGGCATTTCCCAGGAGCCTCTGAATAAAGAATCAGGGGCTGTTTACATAAAGTCTGGCTTTTTAAAAATTCAAGAATTTATATGATTAAGGGAAGAAAGTTCAGCTGCCACCCTGTCCTTTAAGGTTCTCATTATAGGGCAAAGGAAAAAGTGAAATACTTTCCTTTAAGCACAATTCACAGATTTTTGTTTGGGTTTTCTGCACTGATTCAGATTTCTTCCCTTTTAGTAGGTCAAGTCCGACCTTCCATGCTAATGTAAGAAACGTATTCTTTCCTTCTTAGTTTTATGTTTATCAGAATCTAAAAAACTATGGTTAGAGCCAATCTTTCAGTGCCTATCATTTGTAAAGCTGTTCATTTTCAAGTAAGCACGCTCCTAAGATCTTTTGAAAATTGACGGATAAATTGACTACAAAATTAAGAAAAAATATTTTCTGTTTGCTGATTTTGGACAATGGTTTAGGTCCTCGAAGCACAGCAAAATGCCATAAAATAAATTTTGTTTTTTATTAAAGCTCACTATTACTACAACAAAAAAACACAAAAAACACACAAAAAAATTAGCACAAATGAGGCTAGGCTTCTTTGGTGGCTCAGATGGTCAAGAATCTACCTGCAATGAGGGTGACCCAGGTTTGATCTCTGGGTTGGGAAGATCCCCCTAAAGAAGGGAATGGCAACCCACTCCAATATTGTTGCCTGGAGAATACCATGGACAGAGGAGTCTTAGTGGGCTACATACAGTCCATGGGGTCGCAAAGAGTCAGACACGACTGAGCGACTAACATTTCATCCAACCACGTGTGATGAAATATGAGAAACACAAACATTTGCTTTTAAATGTCCATGTAGCTTATGGTCATCTGAAAGAGGCAGGCACTAGGACCACTTCCCTCGAGGACATTTTAGAAAGGAAAAATCTTACCCTCCCATTGATACTCCTGCTGCCAGAAATGGAGCAGAAGGGTACAGACTGTGGACGTGGTGAATGACTGTCTCCAAGTCTTCAGTGTTTGAACAACAGTAAGTCCTTGGTGTCTGCAAGCAATGACAGGTAAAGCACAAAAATTAAAATTGGGAGGGGAATCATTTGTATAACACAGAAATGTAAAAAAGAGCAAAACGTCATAACTAGGAGAAAATGACCTTTGTTTGCACATACTATATGAGTCAGGATAATTTTCAATTTCTGTCTTGCAGTTCAAATTTATGCCATTTAGAGTCAGTACTACCCGAATTGGCACTAACAAAAGACTCTGATCACAGAAGGAAGCCTGGAGGGAAACAGGACAAGACCAATATAAATACCTTAAATTAGATAGATATGCAGTACTCTATTCAAATGTGTCTCTAACTAAAGAACGGAGTCAATTTAGGAAGAAAAAGTGAAGAATGACACTTTTTTATAGAAAACCAACAACTTAGGCCTGACAAAGCCAAAGCAATTGTTTTTTTAATATATAATTTTATTTATTTTTATTTTTGGCTGTGCTGCGTCTTCGTTGCTGCGTAGACTTTTTTCTAGTTGTGGCGAGCAGGGGCTACTCTGGCTAGGCTCTAGGTGCGTGCAGGCTTCAGTAGCTGCAGCATACAGCAGCGGTGGGGGGGCGCGGTTAGCTGTTCCATGGCATGTGGGATCTTCCTGGTCCATGGATCAAATCCTTGTCTCCTGCACTGGCAGGCATACTCTTTACCACTGAGCCACTAGGAAAGCCCCAAAGTAATTCTTATTTAAAAAAAAACAACAACACACAATCAAGCAAAAAAAAGGTTTTCAATAATCCACAAAAATATCTAAACCGAAACTCCTTTCTGCTCGGGTATAACCTGAGTGCTGTCTACCAGTGAAGGAGTATGATTTTTTTTCTGACACTGCCTTCACTCTAGATCAAGCAACATGCAGTCTGCTTTATTAATTAGATATTTTCTTTTTCGATAATACTTCCATATAACCCCAGCTGTGCTATACTGAAAACAGACACTTAAAATGTTAAAATATGTAAAGCTGACTATGCCTCAATACATAATGCATTAAAACAAATGATTTTCATGTGAACCCCATCAATAAGGGCTCTGTTTCCAGCAGAAAAGCTTCACAGATGCTTTATTTGAGATCTGGGAGCAGAGGGCAATCCTGTGTGTACAATGTATGTGTGTGTGTATGAATAAAGTATGCATGAGATAAAATAACTAGAAATTTAACAACAAAGAGATAAATCTGGTAACTGCCCTAATAAAAAATGCTGAAACCAGTTATCTGTACAAACCGGATGGTAACATTCCAATAAAATATGACTGGAAGGTTATGTATCACCCACCATTCAATCACTAATGTATAGTCTGAGAAAACTGCAATTTTCACTAATCCCTCCAACTAAACTCAAGGTTAAAACACTCCTATTGCCTACTACCATCTTTTTGAGATCTGCAAATATAAAACTCTCCAAAAGAGAAATGTTAACCTGACAGTATTTACAATGGCTAACATTTATTGAATAATTAAATTTGTGCCCACAAAACCCCAAGGAAGATCCTATTATATCTAGGAAACTGAGTTATTAATAGAAAATTGAGTTTAGAGAGGTTAAATAATTCCTGTAAACTCATGAACAGCTAACACACGATGAAGCTGAGATACTTCCAAAAATACTTTGTGATTAAATGCATTTGAGGGGCACAAATTCAATGTAAAATCTAAACAGACCAATGTCTACTACCATGCTTATTCATAGTAACTGCAGAATCTGTCAAAAGAATTCGGGTGAAAAAAATATCCTTCTTTAGCATTTTCACTGTATTTGTGTTTATTCACACTGCATAGCTTTAAAATTTCTGTATTATTCAATATAAACAGCTACCAACACATATTCTTGTTATGCAGGCTTCAAGTGAAGTAAGTGTATAAGTGTGTATATACACTTGCACACAGATACATGAACATACACACAGAGTTGTTGGTGGTGGTTTAATCTCTAAGTCATGCCTGACTCTTTGCAACCCCATGGTCTGTAGCCTACCAAACTCCTCTGTCCATGGAATTCTCCAGGCAAGAATACCAGAATAAGTCGCCATTTCCCTCTTCAGAGGATCTCCCTGACCCAGGGATCGAATCCACATCTCCTGCACTGCAGGTGGATTCTTTACCACTGAGCCACCAGGAAAGCACACACGGAGCTAGGGTATGATCTTAGTGCCAGGAATGACTGTGGATAGCAGTTGCTTCCTTATTTACAAGTGGGAAAACCAAAGCTTGTAAGCTTGGGTAGTTTGCCAAAAGTCATAAAGTAGCAAAGCTCAGGGTTTATGTTTGTAGTAAGTAAACTAGTTCTCATAAAGCACTAGGATTCCATGAGATATTTAATAAGCAAATTGATATCTGGGGCCTCAGAGACAGGAGTTTCTTTTTCCCTTAATGTTTTTCTCCCAATGGGTTACACTGAGTTGGAAACCAATAACACTGGTGTGGAAATGTTAGGTAGTTAGAATAGGAAAAAGGAGTCCAGAATGGTGGTGGCTAAAAGACAAGGAAGGGAAAAGCCTGAGAAAATAAAACAAAAGAAGGTCCGAGGACAGGAGTGAGGACCTCAGGTAGAAAAAATAGAAGTCCTGGCTAGCCCAATTTACATAGGGCAAGCCCAGGGGGAGGAAAAAACATATAAGAAGAGGAACCAAAGGGCCAGGGGTCTCTCTCCCACGAGCATATGCTCTCTCTCTCTCTCTCTCTCTCCTGTGCACGTGCGCTCTCTCTTCTCTTCACGTCTTTTGGGTCGGCATGCCTTCACACCTCGAGGATGTATTTTCCTTTATTTTCTAAATAAAACTGAGCTGCAACACTGTCCAAGAGCTGTGACACACCGAGGGCTTTAACGTCCGTCGCTTCAAATTTTTGTGGTGATGAGACAGAACCGAGGAAATTATACATTCCCCTAACATCTGTGGTGCCGTGACTCAGATTTAACCTGGCTGAAACAACCTCGGCACGGCCCCGCAAGGAGGAGGCCAAGCAAAGCAGGAGCCCAACTTGGCAAAAGCTCCCACGGTAGAAGCGGAAGGCGAAGAAAACCCAGCACAGGGGAAGTGACAAGAAGCCCAGCGTGCTGGAAACCGGAACAGGGAAAAACGAACTCAGCAGAAAGCTCACATGGCTCAGTCTCAGATTCCAGAAGACCTCCGGTTAAGGTAGGAGGTCCTCACTCCTGTGGCGGGAGGGACCTGTGCCTAACGAAATCTTAATTCCTTTACAATCTCTCATTTCTTGTTTCCTCGAAACCCCCCGTGAGCAGGCAAGCGGCAATGGGCGTAATTGAGGGACTCTGGAGAGGCTAATTCTCAGTATGTCCCAAAGGATCCATTCTCTGCTGAGCCCCAGGAGCTGTTACCCAAGCTATTGGGGGTTCTTCTGTCCTTAATCTTCTTTGTGCCAAGGATCAAGCCAATGAAAACTGAGCACAGGTCAGGTATTCAGCAGATTTTCTGGCAGGCTATGAAGGGGATTCCTTGGCATGTTTTTTCCACTGCTTTTTCCTCCCGTTCCTCAGCTCCTCTCTCCTGGGACTTGAACCTGGCCAAAACCCATGATGCCTGGCTTCAGGACCTAATGAAAATCAGGCTCTGATGTCTCATTGCAAAAATTCAGTGAGAGACACAGCAATAGGTAAGAGGTGGATTTGTTAGGATTCACAGAGAAGCACACTCTAAAGAGTGTGGGCCATTGCAGACAGCAAGTGCTTCCACCATGGAATTCAGTCTGGCGAGGATCTGCAAGCTGGGTGAATTCATATGCTAATGAGTGGGAGGATCACCCCAACCATTGGGGAACCATCCGCTCTTCTGTCTTTTGACAGTGCCTTGGAGCTGTCCTGCCACCTCTGGGTGTGTCATTTAGCTTACAGATTGGGGATTAAGGTTTACTTGAATATGACTTGTCATCTTGGACCCAACTGATTTTAATCAGTTTATGTTATGTTATGCACATGGACATCACCAGATGGTCAACACTGAAATCAGATTGATTATATTCTTCGTAGCCAAAGATGGAGAAGCTCTATACAGTCAGCAAAAACAAGACCGGGAGCTGACTGTGGCTCAGATCATGAACTCCTTATTGCCAAATTCAGATTTAAACTGAAGAAAGTAGGGAAAACTACTAGACCATTCAGGTATGACCTAAATCAAATCCCTTATGACTATACAGTGGAAGTGAGAAATAGATCTAAGGGACTAGATCTGATAGACAGAGTGTCTGATGAACTATGGACGGAGGTTCGTGACATTGTACAGGAGACAGGGATTAAGACCATCCCCATGGAAGAAATGCAAAAAGGCAAAATGGTTGTCTGAGGAGGCCTTACAAAGAGCTGTGAAAAGAAGAGAAGCAAAAAGCAAAGGAGAAAAGGAAAGACATTCTCATTTGAAGGCAGAGTTCCAAAGAATAGCCAGGAGAGATAAGAAAGCCTTCCTCGGTGATCAGTGCAAAGAAATAGAGAAAAGCAACAGGATGGGAAAGACTAGAGATCTCTTCAAGAAAATTAGAGATACCAAGGGAACATTTCATGCAAAGATGGGTTCGATAAAGGACAGAAATGATATGGACCTAACAGAAGCAGAAGATATTAAGAAGAGGTGGCAAGAATACACAGAAGAACTGTACAAAAATGATCTTCATGACCCACATAATCACGATGGTGTGATCACTCACCTAGAGCCAGACATCCTGGAATGTGAAGTCAAGTGGGCCTTAGAAAGCATCACTACAAACAAAACTAGTGGAGGTGATGGAATTCCAGTTGAGCTATTTCAAATTCTAAAAGATGATGCTGTGAAAGTGCTGCACTCAATATGCCAGCACATTTGGAAAACTCAGCAGTGGCCACAGGACTGGAAAAGGTCAGTTTTCATTCCAATCCCAAAGAAAGGAAATCCCAAAGAATGCTCAAACTACCACACAATTGCACTCATCTCACACGCCAGTAAAGTAATGCTCAAAATTCTCCAAGCCAGGCTTCAGCAATACGTGAACCGTGAACTTCCAGATGTTC